ACTCTGGGTTGGGGGGGGGGGATTAGGTATATATCTCCCGTTGCTACTTTGTCTTTTTGTTATAGGTTAAAGAAGAATATAAAGGTGAAATTGAGCACCTTTGTGTTATATTATGTAAAAGTTATAAACACATTTGTGCAATAGTGTATGTAGAATTCAGATTCTAAAGTTAAAATTGCCTCCTTCGGATAATGCAGGCACTTTGTGACCTTAATTCATCAATAGCACAAATATAATTAACATAAAATAAACTGGCAATGTTACAAAGTGAACTTAGGTAATTCATCAGTTGGTTGGAATAATGTTTTGTGTCCAATGTTTAATGTTAGTTAAAATAACATTAACATTTATTCTTGTCACAGTTATTATTTTTCTGATCCAACTCTTATCATTCATACAGACTTTTGATTATTTAAATGAAGGCTGCTGTCAAACAAGAAAATAATCCAGACTGTTTTCAAATTAAAAAAGGAAATAAGAGGGGCACTTGGGTGGCTCAGTCGGTTAGGCGTCCTACTTCAGCTCAGGTCATGATCTCACAGTTTGTGAGTTCAAGCCCCACATCAGGCTCTGTGCTGATGGCTGGGAGCCTGGAGCCTGCTTTGGATTCTGTGTCTCCCTTTCTCTCTGCCCCTCCCTGGCTCACTCTCTGTCTCTCTCTCTCAAAAATAAATAAACATTAAAAAAAATTAAAAAAGGAAATAAGAAACAATGACTTTCTTGCTTTCATATATATTATCTTAATTACTTATCACAAGATGCTAAAGCCTCATTTTATCTCTATGTGTATGGGGCTTTTGATACTCAAAAGGTTAAGTAGTTTGTTCAAGGTAACAATTGTGAAATTAGAGTGGCAGGGTTAAATCCATGCCTTTAGACCCTAAGACTTATTTCTGAAGTCTTCTTGCTTCGCTGCATAGTTTGGCCTCCATTGTCGTAATTAATGTAACACTTTGACATTTCAACATATCTTAAAATATTATGGTGTAACATCCTTCTCATTCTTCAGCTCTAATTTTCTTTATCTTTTAGTTAAGATTTTAGAGTGTGTGATTTAAAAACCAAAGAGTTCCAAAGATTGTGCAATGGACAGCATGATACAAATTTTAGTTTATAATTTAAATCCGTTCTAGAAGATGGGGATAATTAGAGAGTCATTCAATCAACATATTAATTGTGCATCCACTGTATGGTATATAATTTTGTGTTATACCTGTGGATACAATTGTGATTAGAAAGATAAAACAATTTATTCTCTTGGAGTATAATTTCTAGAGGGAGACACAGACAGTACACAAGCAATATTAACAAAATATATACTGTAGATAAGTGCTGATGAGAAAAATAATGCAGGAAAAGTAATAGAGAAAGAGAATGGGGAAAATGTAGTTGCAATTTCAGATATGGTGACTCAGAAAAACTATGAGAAGGTATCATTTGAAAGAGGGACTGAAAGAGGGTATCAAGTAAGCCATGCAGCTGCCTTTTGGAAGAGCATTCCAGGCGAAGGGAACAGCAAATGCAAAGATTCTGAGCCTGGAATGTCTTTGACATATTCAAAGAATGGAGCAGGACAACTCGGTGGAATTAACTGAATGAAGGGGAGAATGGGAAATGGTGCCATGGAGATGCTGATGTTATAGTGCCTTGCAGACCTTTGAAAGACTGGTTTTTACTGTCATTGAGATAGAAGACATTGGATGTCTTTCATCAATGAGTCATATCATCTGAATTATATTTAAAAATAATCTCTCTTCCCTGTTGTATATAGAGGGAAGGGGTGTGAGGATCAAAGTGGGGAGATCAGTTAGGGGGCTACTAAAAAAATGGATGGCTCCAACCACTTTGGTGTAGTTGAAGTGATGGGCATATAGCAGCTTTAGAAGGCAGAGCCCACAAGATGTCCTGGTGGATAAAGTGTGGCATGTGAAAGAGAGGAATCAACGTGACTCATAAGTTTTTGGCAAGAATACCTCAAAGAATGTTGTTGTTGTTGTTTACTGAAATGGGAAAACAGAGGGAAGAAAAGTTTGTTTGCAGGGTGGAGGGAGAAACAGGATATGATGAGGATCTCAGTTTTTAACATGTAATACTTGGAACCTTTTTAAGCATTCAGTGGAGATTAAAGGGATGTTAAACCTATACTGATATAGGTAATTCAGCTCTAAGGCATTTGGTGTAAGCAGAGTGCGATTATCATCATCATTCAAAAACAAATATTTATTAAGGATTTTTCATTTGTCAAACCTAGTAGTACTACATGTTGGGTTAAAACATTAATAAGATATTAGATTAATAAGATTTCAAGGCACATAATGTTATGTATAGTAGTTATAGGTGATTGAGTTATATAGTGCCTCACAAACATCAAACCTTGGAAATAAGAATACTTGATCGATCATCATAGTGTTAACCGTGCCTAAGAGTTTTATTCAATTGGCCATCCTCTTGAAGGGGATGTGGCTTTTTTCATAGCTTGGCCTTCTGAAAGTTCTGTTATGGTATGCTATGATAAAGAAGGCTATACTTACAGCTTTTATTGGCATTTAATATCCATTGTTCTTTTCCTTTCATCTTATTTATAAAATTCAAGTGGTGAGTTGTATCCTGAAGGGCGCTACTATCACAGTATAGTAAGCACAGGGTGGTTGGTGTTGATGATTTCTGACCTAGACACTAATACCTGAAAGGTGAATTAATCACTAGACTTTTTTTGTTCTGTCTTTGAGTGTAATATACTTTTTCTACTGATGTTTTGACATCTGGTATTCTTCTCTTAATAACTCTGCATGGGGTTTTTGATGGACTTATGAAGGCACTGAGAAAAGTAAATACATTTCTAATAATGCAACTACCCAGACAAAGGCAGGAGTTTTTTGGTTTCTCTTTCTTTCTTTCTTTCTTTCTTTCTTTCTTTCTTTCTTTCTTTCTTTCTTTCTTTCTTTCCTTCTTTCTTTCCTTCTTTCTTTCTCTCTCTCTGTCTCTGTCTCTCTCTCTCTCTCTCTCTGTCTCTCTCTCTCTCTCTCTTGTTAGTGTTTTAGGTCTTTAGGATACATTTGAGAATGTATTATACCTGCCATCTTTCCCATTATAGGAGACTGCTGTGCTGAACATTGGTGCTTGATACTCAAACACAGCATCTTTCCTTTGAGTCAAAGAAGAGAGCAAATAGCCCTCTGTTCAGGGAACCGGGTAGCACTAACCACTCTCCACATTCAAATAGTAAAAGTAATTTAAGCTATCTGAGACCCAACACTATGTTAGTAGTGTCCCCTGGAGAACAAAGCAGTTAAAGCAAAATTTCATGTAGTTTTCTTTTCATGATTTCAGCTCCTTCCGAGAAATATACCTAGAGTTATGCAGGAATATTTCAAAATGGTTTCATTGACAGTGTGCTAGCAGAGTTCTGTATCAAATAACTGTGAAGTCTCATCTGGCAATCTGAGAAGAGCTATGATTTAGGTTACAGCATAGGGACTCACTTGTAAGAATTTTCATATTCAGAATAATCTTTGTATGACGTTTGTAAAAAACCTAAAAGTATGAAGTTTGAATAGACACAAGTAACACTGGAAAACCTGGATATTTATGTATTTTGAAAGTGAGTTAACAGTGTGGAAGACAACCAAATGTAGTAACCTCCATCCTAAAATAACAAGCAACGTGTATGATCTACACAGTGGAAAAAGATGTCAATTAGAAATGCATTTCTTTGTTTTTAACTAAAAAATTTCCCATCCTCATATTACACTTGCACTGCTTATGCACATATCCATAAAAATCGAAGTCACTGTTTTTTTTGTCCTTTAAAATTTTGTATGAATGGCATCATACAGATCCCTTTGCCACTTACATTTTTAAAAAATCTAATGTTAGGTTTTTGAGGAGAAGTCCTACTTATGGAAGTTAGGTCTTCAGGGCTTTTCCAGAAACCTGTGAAGAAAAGAGGCATTGACGGTCATGGACAATTTCTGAACTCTGCTCCAATACCTTGGCATGCTGCTGTGTTGGGCCACTATATATTCTAATGCTTCACAGAAGTGTTTTGGGTAGAGTCAATCTACCATAGGGAAGGAATAGAGTCTGGAATCTTGGAACAAGGACAGAAATGAGATAGTACAAAGAACAAGGAACATGGATGGTATGGAACTCTCAAGATTATTTTAACAGAACCAAAAAAAAAAAAAATTGCAGTTTTAGTACAGAAGCTTTTATGAGCTTTTTCTTTTTCTTAGCTCTATCTGTTTTATGCTGCTATGGGGTATAATAATACTGAATGCTTATTTTCCATCTATGTATAACAGGCTCTATTCATGCAAACCCTTCAAGGATCAAACTTCCTGATCTCCTTAAGCCATTCAATATGAATATAAATCCAGTGTATATCCTCACTCTTTTAGATCTTCCACTAAATAAATGGTGCGCATATGTGGCTGTTCATCAGAATTAACTGGGAATCTTTATAAAAATACATACTTTTATGAACTCAACCTTGGAAATTTTAATAAAGAACCTACAGAACAGAGGAATTGTATTTTTTTATTAAAAAATCCCTTGGTGATTGAAAAAGCATTTCAGTTGAGACACCACTTCCTTAAGCATATAGCTTAATTTTTTAAATAGAGTATTCCCTAGTGGGAGTTGTCAAAGAATTAACCTAAAAAAGTGATATGAGTTGAAAAAATAAAATTTTCCCTGAAATCTTAGGCCAGAATTAAGTTAGGTTGCTTCAACCATTTGCATCCTAAAAGCATATTTAATCAAGAAAGGTACAAACACTACTGACATCCCTGAATAGCAAACTGATTTAAACCTCAGAAAATATAAAATCTTTTACCTGTGGACTAGAAAACCTGAACAATTAAGTTATCTTATTCATTGTGTGTGCATAGGATATTTAGCGTATTATGATAATCATGCTTCATGAATCCAGGCCCTCATAAGACTTCACAATCTGTTATGCATAAGTGCAACTTATGGCTTTTCTGTTGTATTTCCAGCACAGTGATGCGGTCCATGACCTTCTTCTGGATGTGATCACGTGGGTTGGAATTTTGCTGTCCCTTGTTTGTCTCCTGATTTGCATCTTCACATTTTGCTTTTTCCGTGGGCTCCAGAGTGACCGTAACACCATCCACAAGAACCTCTGCATCAGCCTTTTTGTAGCTGAACTGCTCTTCCTGATTGGGATCAACCGAACGGACCAACCAGTAAGCAGCTTCCACTGATGTTAGGAAAAAATGTCTCCATCTCCAGCTTTCTAATATCCAAAATATTCTTGTTTGAAAGTATCCTCTCTTCTAGTTGTCTAAGATAATTGTTAATTTTCAGATCTTACTCAGTTTCCCTTTTTCATACCCCATTGTTGTAAAGAGGCAGTGAATGTTAGGGATGTATGAATGTGCATTTCTTGAGAAATTCTGTTCGTAACCTTGCAATTCTAAGGAACTGTATCTCCTCATTAGTTTGTATGTGTGGGTGTTTGTTTCATTTTGTTTTTATCAGAGCAGAATATTGATGAATGTTAAATAAAATCATGTGGGGAATTGAAGAATATCTCTCCTGATAGATACAATTGTTATTTTTGAAAGTTTATCACATACTCTTTTTTTTAAGTTTATTTATTTATTTATTTTAGTAATCTTTACACCCAGTGTGGGGCTCCATCCCACAACCCTGATAAGAGTTGTATGCTTTCCTGACTGAGCCAGCTAGGTGCCCCCATCATATACTTAAAAAAAAAAAATCAGTTTATATCATATTAAAAACATCATGTATAAAATGAGTTTTTTTAATTGACCTATTTGGAAAATAGTTTAAACCGTAGGTCATTTTTAGAATTTATAAACTCTTCCCAAATTTTGTTTGACACACATTTGTGCAAGTTCTGTTTTTACATCTTTAATGCCAGCTTTGTACTTTACTACTATGTTCAGTCATCAGAAAATGAAAGAGAGGAAGGAAAGAAGTAGGAAAAGTAAAAGGGGGAAACGAACTGCACCAGCCAACTGTTTGGGGTGAAACCAAACAGAAAACGTGAATAACAGATAGTATCTAATTATTCAACAGACTCTATGCCTGCTTATACTTTTTGTGAGGCCCGTTCTATTTACTTAGGATTCATGCACATAGCGCACGTTTGCTTCATGACTAAACTGCAATTGAGAAAAAAAACTTCCATTTTTTTAGAGATGTGTAGGCATAATAAATAATTCATTCCCTTAATGCTGTTCTCTGGTATGTGTCCATAAGTATGGAGTACTTTACAATAAAAATGCAGTTGGATTCATGTTTGTGATTACACATTCATGATTAATGGCTGTAAAGGGTACAATTATGGTGATTTTACTTTTAATTGGTTATCATATACAAATGTGACAGCTTTTCCCATAAATGCATACATATGAATAAGCAATCAAAGTGCACATTGCTTTCCCAAAAGAGTTAAGTCTTCTGATAACAAAAATTAATAGTTGAGGTTCTAACTCTAAAAAGCAAGAAATGGAAAACTGTGCTATTTCCAAGAAGAAATCATTTCATTCTCTTGTTAACCTGCAATTCAAATGCTGTGTGATTTCTTTTCATTTAGAAACCTTATTCATACTTTTGTTTCCTAATGTACATATGGTATGACAAACTTCACCACACGTTGTGTGCTGCACAAACTAACTTCTGACAAGTAGCCTAGAGAACAAAGATTGATATGAAAAAGTTGAGTAGAGTGCATCTTAGCCCAACTTGTCTTTCTTCTTGTTGCTGGATAAGTGTCCTCTTCCTGCCTTTTCTACGGTGAGTAGGCTCAGCTTTGTCTCTAGCCTGGTGACGTGAGACATCCTCATCGCCATCTCTCTTACTTGGTGAAACTGACTTGGCCTTTGTCTCTGTCTCAAGGATCATACTTATCATTGAATCTGTAATAATCTGATGATTTCTATAAATTTGTTGCCTTTTTCTAGTAGGAGCTATAGATTTTTAACTAGAATTTCTTAAATTAAAAATAAAGACTGCTGCTTCCCCAAGGAGTGAGAATTCCAGAACTCACATAAGAAAATGAATATATGGTCAGCTGAAACTCGTAGTGCCTTAGAGAATATGCCAAAGTAGGGGCTGGCTGTCTTCTAGGCCAACATTTTTTATGATAACAAAAAAAAAAAAAAAGAAGGAAGGAAGGAAGGAAGGAAGGAAGGAAGGAAGGAAGGAAAGAAAGAAAGAAAGAAAGAAAGAAAGAAAGACAGAAAGAAAGAAAGACAGAAAGAAAGAAAAAGAAAGGAAGAAATAGAGGGAAAGAAAGTACTCTGGAGCCTTCTATTTTATTTTATTTTAAACCTACTTTTATACTTTTTAGTATGAACTTCCCAATGCCACCTTAAATCCTTTCTGAAATCAAGCAGGGAAGAAATAAGCAAATAATAATAATGAATTGGTGATCCCATCACAAAATACTATAATTATTTTATTTTTATTTTTTAATCGTTATTTATTTTGAGAGAGACAGCAAGCATGAGCAGGGGAGGAGCAGAGAGAGAGGGAGAGAGAGAATCCCAAGCAGGCCCCATGCCATCAGCACAGAGCCCGCTGCAGGGTTGCAACCTAGGAACTAGGAGATGGTGACCTGAGCTGAGACTGAGTCAGATGCTTAACCAACTGAGCCATCCAGGCGCCCCTCGTTTTGAATTTTAAGAGCTTTTATTCTCCTTGGTTTTAATGTTTCTCTTTCATTTACAATTGAAGAATTTAATATGTTAGAACACCCATGATTAAGGCCAAGAAAAATAATTCATAGTTATATTTTTAAAACTTTAATCTCAGAAATAATTATCAATAACTAGGCTCTTATTAGAACTTTTTCCTAAATTTTATAATTTTTCCTTATAATACTATGCTGTCATCTGTAAGACATTATTAGTAGAATGTTAAATATAGTTTTGAAAGGTAGGTTATACTTAATTAGGTTTTAATATCTGAAATTTAAGAGTCTTATTTAGGTTATTTTTTGACAGACCTATTGTATTACCGCAGTCTTGATAAAATTTTTTTTAAGTTTATTTTTATTCACTTTGAGAGAGAGAGAGAGAGAGAGAGAGAGAGAGAGAGAGAGAGAGACAGGATCCCAAGCAGGCTCCATGCCATCAGCACAGAGCCCAATGCGGAGCTCAAACTCACAAACCATGAGATCATGACCTGAGCCGAAATCAAGAATCAGACGTTTAACTGACTGAGCCACCCAGGCGCCCTGATAAATATTTGTTTTGATGTTATGGTAGTTGGTGATATTTCGTTTGGTTGTCATTCAAATCATTTGTTCTCTTTCCTAGATTGCCTGTGCAGTTTTTGCTGCCCTACTACATTTCTTCTTCTTGGCGGCCTTCACCTGGATGTTCCTGGAGGGAGTGCAACTCTATATCATGCTGGTGGAGGTTTTTGAGAGTGAGCATTCACGGAGGAAATACTTTTACCTGGTTGGCTATGGGATGCCTGCGCTCATAGTGGCTGTGTCCGCGGCGGTAGACTACAGGAGTTATGGAACAGATAAAGTGTGAGTTTATGTTTTCTTTCCTTTTTCTTTTTTCTTTTCTCTTTTGAAATCTAGTTGAAATAAATGCCTTGTATTTTCTTGGAAGCTAAGGTCTTTATATCACCTCATAGCAATAGGTATTTGAACTGGAGAAGCAAATGGGAGTAATTCAATTCATGAGTATACTTTTGTTATGAGGTAGAAAGAGGAAAAACCTTGAGATTCAGTATGATTCTGTTAGAAAAGAACTTAATTGTCCCACAACTACATCATACCCTTGAGTAATTATAAGAAGATGATTTTTAATATCTTTCAGAGCATTGAGACATTTGTCAAATGTAGAACTAGCTATGTCAGAAACTGTGTATTCAGAGGACAGTGTAGTCCCTGATATTAATGGCTTCTGTTCTTCCTTACCTGTCAGTTCTAGTTACTGGAAATAAATTTATATCATTAACAGAAAGAGAGACAATAGGAACAGGGGCAGCTTGTATTTTTCCCTTTTTTTTTCCCTAGGTGAGTATTGGGTCATAGAGATGAATTTTGGTTTCAGTGTGCGTTCAAATTGGTGAGACATACATGTAGAGATGTCCAACATACTGGAAAGGAATTCAGTGAAAAATATTTTTGTAATCCACATCAATATAACAGTTGGAACCCTGAGCATGAATGAAAGTTTCAATAGAAAAACATTAGAAAGAAGACCAAGATAGATCTCTGATGAATACCCACATTTAGGACATAGATTGAGGCGGGAAAATAAAAATAGAGAAAGGCGAGAGGTGACCAGAGCCTTGAAAGAGAATCATGAGGAAAATGAGAAGGCAGTTTCAGGATGGTGTTTCAGAACACCATCTGTAGTGTTCTATATCAAAGATAATTCAAGTAGGATAAGCACTGAGGAAAAATGATTTGTCCTTTGCAACAATTATTTTGCTAGTGCTGGAAGCAGAAACCAAATTGGAAGATTCAAAGAGAGAAGTCAATAGCAAGATAGTAGAGTTTTCAAGTATTACCTGCACCCTGAAAAAGTTTGAGAAATAATGAAAGGATTAACTCATGATAACAGTAGTGAAGAAGAATTTTTAAAAATAAAGTCCGAAGAATGTCTAGGGTGGGAAGAATCAAGTTGATAGGAGGAGACTAATAGAAAATATCTTATGCTTCATTTGTATTTAATATAGAGAGAGGCTGAATGAAAAGGAAAGGTCCTGGGGGATAGAAAGGCATAAGATTGTACATAAGATTAGGAAAACCTTATTTAATAATGAAAGTGGCATTGGAATTCACGTGGTCCAAGACATTAATTTTACAGATGAAAAAAAAATCAAAGATCAGTTAATTAATTGTCTGGCCCATGATGCTAGAGCTAGTTAGTGGCAGATATGTGTGATAAAACAGGTCAGATTTATTTCCACTAAACTAGGATGTTTTGGGAAGAGTAAAATGACCCCTCTCTTCTGAGATGAGTATGAAGGAAAGAAAAGATAAGATAAATTTCGAAGTGGAAGAACTTTTCCATCAAGCAGAAGAACCTGACTTCAGCTGAGTGAATAGGTGAGGTCATTTGGAGAGGACAGGAGATTTGAAAAGCCTTGAAATGAGCACTATGGAAAATGTGTTAAGGAGCCAATTAGACATTAATAAGATTTCCAAGCAGTAGTGAAGGCTCAGATGAGGTTAGATAACATCAATTTGTACAGAAGTTAATAAGCCAAATTTCATGACTTGCCACCAGCAATCAGCAGCCTGAATATGCTGGCAATAAAGCAGCTCACTTCCCAGAAGAGAGAATTCATAAGGAGAGAAGACAAGCAGAAGTGTTACTGGGAGCACAGTTAAAGTGGAATACATGTCTGTTCCGAGGCACGAACACTGTGATTGAAAGAAGACTGTCTCACTTCTGTTGATTGTCCCCCCCTCCTCCCCCGCCCGGAGTGCGGTGAAGGCTATATGAGGCCATTTGTCTAAATACAACAATAATAATTTCTTAATCTGACCTTTATGAATTGTGGTCAAGTCTGAGTTCATTTTGTGGATCCCAGTGACCACTGTAGAACAAATTAGGATTAAAGACATTAAAAATGTTTGCCTCTAAAGACCTCTTAGGGGTGGGGGGGTTAAATCAAAAGTTTGTTGTTGTTGTTGTTGTTGTTTTTAATAACACCTTTATTGATATAATCCACATACCATAAAATTCACTCTTTCAAAGTGTATGCTTCAGTAGATTTTAGTACATTCACAGTTATACACCCATCACCACCGTCTAATTTTACAACGTTTTCATCAACTTAAAAAGGAACTCTCTAGCAGTCACTACACTTAGGTCATCGGATTTTATACTTTAATTAATGTACATCCCCTCTCAGATATTAAATTGAATGATATGTAATTATTTGTGACCTTATAGCATTCGAATATTCTTTTCAATAATTTCACTGCAGTACTCTCTTGCAGTTCCTGATTTGCTTTTATTTTATTTATTTTTTTCTTTTTAGATATTTCCAAATTTTCCTGTTACTAAACTAACTCAGACTTGCTTGCTTTGTGTTTTAGTCATTTATTCTGAGACAGATGTCATTTTCTGGATAGTAGGAATCTATCTTTTCTTAGAATCAATAATATGTAAGTCTCTTGTGACTGTTCAATCTTTGGCCATCATTGCTTTAATTTCCTGCACCATAACTGGAAGCTCTCATTTACTGACATTATTACTGTGTGGGAATAGAGGCTAATTTACTTCCCAGGCACTGATTTAAAATAAGCCTTGATAATAGTTCGGTTCCACAATTATGATTTTTCCCAACACAAAGAGCAACAAAGCAGATATAGAGAAAAGGAAGGATAGATGAAAGAGGGAGAGAGGAGAATAAGGAAAATTGCTTAAAATTCTATCATAGGCAGGCATAGAGCATTTGGTGGCTCTTTTGTGCATCTTAAATACATTGTCCACAGAGAGACCTTCAGAATACATGGGAAAAAAATGTTTAACTTCTACCGATTGGGAATTCATCCAACCCAGTGTCTATTTTGCCCATTGAAGAAGCAGGTGTGGAGAAAGAAACATTATTCAGTCATTTGTATTTACATGAGAAGCTTAAATGAACAGATCATGTTTTCTATCAGGTGTTTAATCAAGATATCTTCTCAAAGAAAAATCTAAGCAATGAATTTTTACACAACTCGAAGGATTTCTATGTATAGAATTATATATCTTGTTCCTTATTATCAAATCTGTCTTTGTTGTTCCAGTTTCTGTTACTATTGTTCATTGCTTTTATTTGACTTTGGATGGCATTCCTGACTCCCTGTTCATCTCCTCTCTTTTTTGTGTAAATCTACTATCTCAATTGCACTGTTCCTTTTGTTTGTCTGTTTACCAGCGGCCCCTTCTTATATGCTACGTTGACTTTTTTTTAATACAAATCCAGTCTTAAATAAATTGGAATTAGCCAGAATTCAGAACATATTATCAGCCACTTTCTGTAAATTCTTATTAAGCTCAATACATTGAATTTTTATGTCTAGGAAATCTATTTCACTTATTATTGGAACTTTGTTATCATTATTAAGTTTTTACTCCTCAGTTTCAACCACTCAGAGTACATCTAGAATAAAACCATTGAATATATATTATAGTAATCCAAATAATAATAAACCTTTTTCCCTTTTCTCTCCTCTTAATGTACTTATATTTTACTATACTGCCAATGAGATTTTATCTCTGAAAACTTTAATAATAATAATAATAATAATAATAGTAGTAGTAATAATTGCTTACATTTCTAAAAAGTAGAGAAGCATATTAATGGGAGATAAAATCAGAGATAAAATTACTTTTGTAGGTTAAATAAATGTTATTTTGATGCAGATAGTGGTAACTATCATATTTCATCTGGCTGATGCGTTATGATGTGGTTTTCTATGAAATGTTGTTAGGGTTGTTGATTACTAAACACATACACACAAAACACACATAATTTGTTTTTGAGAAGTTGCTTAGTTTGCCATCAATTTACAATGCTTGTAAGATAATTTTATTATTATTTTCTGATATGGTTTAGTGAAATCTTTTTATCTGTGCTGACAGTATTCTCGAGAATGTACTTAGAATTATATTTAGTCACAATAATTGGACATTCAAAAAATGAGTTTAGAAGATCAGTATAGTCATTTAAAAAAATAAGTAACTCTCAGCTGGTGGACTACATTCTAAATTGTACTGTTAACAATGGGCATTTATTCAATTTTATCTCTGTTGTTGTTTCTTCTCTTAGTCTCTCTTATACTCTTATCCGTATGCACATTCAGTGACGTCATCCAATAAATGATACTGTCAGACAATAAAGGCTGGCATTGACTTAACGATAATTTAAACAGGGCTGATTTGGAATTTTTGTGCTAGATACTTTTATTTTATGACCTGAAACTAATTAGTTCATGTAAATTTTAATTACCTCAATATTACCAAAAAAATGCAAACCATTTTAACAGTTAAATTTTCTTTAAAGAGAAAATCACATTTATAGTTTATACCACTTTCCTCACAATCAAATAATATAAGAGAAAGGAGTGGTTAACATGATGGGTAGATGGGAAAAGGATTGGGAGCAGGTTCCAGGAGGAGGGAGGGCTTGGAACCGAGTAAAGCCCAAAGAATAGTCCAAGATTTAAAACATGGGCTGGAGTATTTGTAAGGGGTTTCCGAAATATGTCAATTAGGTCATAAACATTTATAGTGAATCAGAACATCATTGAGTACTAGAAGCATAACCAAGGTCTTAAAAATAATTGTAATCAAATTTTATGATCTGAAAATTATTATAAATCATCTATTAAGTCTTACATTTGTCTCCCTAGCTCAATAGTTTAAGAACAACTCTAAAAGAGGTAGTCTCCCCTGTGCTGGTTAAAAACCCCCACCCCCTGTTTTTTATTTTCATTTCATTATTCAACCCATGTAATCATTTGGGTAGAAAAGTGAGTATTGATTTTTTTAAATTGTTTTTCAATGTTTATTT